CCAGAAAGAAGAATGAAACCCTAGCATGTGGACCCAATAGGTGGAAGCGTTGGACATCGTGTGAAATAAATGAAGCTGTGCACAGGAAGAGATGTGCCATGTGTTCTCTCTTTAATGTCAAAGTTGAAAAAAGAAAAGTTGGTTGGAGTACAGAACAGAGATTATTACAGAAAGGAAAAGAGTTAGGGAGGGGAGGGGAGGGAGAAGGGGGCCTGGGTTCAACTGGTGCTCAGCAGATATGTAACTGAAGCAACCACTGAGTGGTACTTGGATAAACAACGCATGCTCACACACACACACACACACACACACACAGAGAGAGAGAGAGAGAGAGAGAGAGAGAGAGAGAGAGAGAGAGAGAGAAACCTTAAATCCAGTTTCTATTCTAGGGAAGAAGAGTGCCTAAGCTGCTTTTACGTGGTGGGATTACACACACTACGGGTTCTTTCCTCAGAGCCCCAAAGTGGAAACCACAGTTTCTACAAAATGGGGACCTCTAACCCCATCCACACAAACATGCATCCCAAGCTGGGGCTCCCTACTGGTCCCCTTTTTATTTGAGCTGGTTTCACTCAAAAGACAAAACACCCCAGCCTGAAGGGCTTCACCCTCCTGAAAACAGTTAACATCTGAATGAAGCTGGCTGGCTTAGCAGAAGGGTCGCAGACATTTTATGTCCCGGACTCTTTGCCCCGGTATTTAACCCCTAAAACATAAGTAGATGAAAGACAGCTCATGAGAATTGCGTTCCCTAAACTAAATGCTGTCAGTAAAATTTTTTATTTTCCCTTTTCAATAGCAAATGTTATAAGACATTTCACATCCTTTGTGTCCCCGTTGGATGAAATTACCCTGGAAACAAGCATTAGTGTGTAAAATGAAGATCCAGGGGTTATTAGTGGGCTGCTACAGCTGTACGCGGAACGAACCCAGGAGCAATGAGGCAGAGACGTGGACGGAGGCGACGCAGCTGGCTCTGACCGGGGTCGGAGACAATAAAATTATATGGCCCTCTCCCTTTACTGCCGTTTGGGATTAATGCCGAAAGGCCCATTCCACAATTGACTGTAGAACGGAATGATCGGGCTTATTGGACCTTTCCAGAAGGCATGTCTAGGCCACCTTCTTTCCCATGACTCGGTCAGCAATATTTCCTGAGCACCTCTGGCATACAGAGCACACAACTGAATGCTGCAGGAGAGCAAAGCAAGCTAACGCCACACCTCTGTAAGGGCAGACACAGTCTTCTCTCCAGTTCACAGCTTCCAAGTTCATACAAAGACCTGACTGCACCACACGGTCATGAGGTCCTCAGAAGCATACAGAAGCAGAGACGCACGAAGGACTCTGCATGGCCGCAGCTCTGGAAGCCTCATGGCCTCTGAGAAACGGGCAGGCCCTCAGTTGCTACGCTCCTCTCTCCCCTTCTCTCTCCCTCCCTCTCTCTTTCTCTCTCCTCCCTGTCAGTTTCATACATGAGGATAAAGATGTGATCAGCTTCCAGCCCCTGCCTACCAGCCTGTTACTGTTTCTTCCCTACAGTTAGAGGAAGTCATAAGGATGGGTCATTTATATTGGGATCAGTGTCCCTATAAGAAGAGGTACCACAAAGCTCCTAATGTCCCACCTCTTTCTCTGCCACATCAAAGGAACGTGCTGTCACCATCTGGACTTACAAGAGACACATGCTCTTGTTTACGTCAATAGGACAATGGTATTCCATAAAGACAAACCAAGCTAAACCATCAATTACATGTTTTATCACTTTTCTCCTTCTCTTTCCCCATGCCCTTGGCCTTGAGGAGGGCGGAAGCCAGAACTTAAAAGAAAGCTGTCCCTCCCTGGGGGAGAAGAGAAGCTAAAACCGTAACCAGAACCTCTTCAGAGAGGAAAGCATTCCAAAGACTGGTACATCTGCCTTCCTCACACAGACTGTGTTTGCTGGCAAAGCTGTGGGACCTTCTACTTCCTCAGAGTGAGTTGTACAGGCACCGACTCTAGGTGACTCTGGGCACGGGGGGGGAGGGGGGGGCAATCCCCAGGGAAAAGGACTGTCTTGGTTTCTTTGAACAGACACCATGACCAAAGACACTCACAGACAAAAGCTTTTAGTGGGGGCTTGCAGTTTCAGAGGGTGAGTGCATGAGCACTGTGGTGGGACGTGTAGACGCAGGCAGGCACGGTGCTAGAGCAGCAGCTGATGATAGCTTATGTCTGACCCACAAGCACAAGGCAGAGAGCTAACTGGGAATGGCGCAGGCTTCTGAAACCTCAAACCCGTGACACCCCTCCTCCTCCGAGGCCACACCTCCTCATCCCACCCAAACAGTTACACCAACTGGCAACCAAGTATCCAAACATCTGAGCCTGTGGGGGCCAGTCTCACTCACACCACCACAGGGACAGTGGGGAGAAACAGAGACACATTTTAGCCACATTCTCCAGGTTAAGTGAGTCACGGGCAAACGCTGGGACAGCAACGTGTGGCCAATGTGAAGAGAAGGATGTGGGACAGATTTTCTCTGTGTAGTTTTGCGCCTTTCCTGGATCTCGCTCTGTAGACCAGGCTGGCCTCAAACTCACAGAGATCCGCCTGCCTCTGCCTCCCGAGTGCTGGGATTAAAGGCGTGTGCCACCGCTGCCCAGCTAATAAATACCTTTTTAATGAGCATGGTAACACACACTCACAATCTCAGCACTCTGGAGGTAGAGGCAAGAGGGTCAGAAGTTCAAGGTCAAGGTCATTCTCCAATGCAGAGAGAGTTGGAGGTTAACCTAGGCTTCATGAAGACTTGTCTCCAAACAAATGGATAATATGGAAGACTATCCTGCTCTGCACAGACGACAGAGCGTTTCTGATGAAAAAGCATTGCTGTTCTTAACAAATATGGAATCAACTTCAAGACTGCCCGTTATCTAAATTACCCTAACCTGCCATTAGCTCACTTAATCAGTAACCTAACAGGTAAATGGTGATACGGTTATCCTACATCTGCATGATGCTCTGGAGCAGAAATTAGTGTTTTTCTATACCTGCTCTCATGGAGATCACGTCAGGAACTGTGAACCTAGGATTTCATTGCTCTCCGCTTAGGGAAAGTGAAGTCAAATGGTTGGGAAATTTAGAGCAGGCAAAGACGTCAGCCCTTGACCTCTGGATCAAACCCAGTGTTCCCTCCCGGAGACCAGAACTTGCTCCACAGGGGAAGCTCATGAGTGGGCAAGGAGCAGGGTACCAGAGCCGAGCTCAGCAGCGTTGCTCCTCTCTAAGGAGGCAAGGGGTGCTTGCCCCTAAGAGGGGGAGGGGCAATGCGGCCACTCAGGAGGGGGAAGGACTGCAGTTTGAACTGGGAGCATTAAGCACCTCTTCCCAGTAGGTCCGCAGAGGGCATACCCATGACAGCTGTGGTTTGGATGTCCCCTTCAAACCCATGTTGAAATCCAGTTGTCGTTGTGATAGTGTGGAGATGTGAAGGCTTCAAGAGATGGCTGTTATGAGGGAAGAGCCCTCAAGGATAGATTAGTGCTGTCACAAGGAGGATAAGGACCCCCAGAATGGGTTGCTATGAGTGTGAAGTGTCTCATCTCCTTCCGCTCCATCTTTCCCTAATGCTCATCTGCCTTTCTGTGCTAAGCTAACACGGCGTAAAGGCTTTCGCCATTTCCAGGCTTTCACCTTGGACTTGAGTCCTCCTGAACTGTGAGTGGAATAAACCTCTGTTATTTATTAAGGACTGGCCTGTATCCGGTGCTCCATTATCTCTAGCAACAAAACATGGACTAAGACTAAAGGCTAACTCACTCGGGCCAGCTCTCACCTCAGCCTTCCCCTGAAAGGAATTGCTTACAGGTGTGGAGACTGGATTTTCCGCTGAAGTGAGCTCCCCCGACAGCAGAAGTGACCTTCACGTAAGAACGAGGATTTCCATAACAGCGACTGGGAGATGGTTCAACAGCCAAGAGTCTTACTATGCAAGTAGAAGACCTGAGTTTCGGGCAAGTGGATCTCTGTGAGTTCGAGGCCAACCTGGTCTACAAAGTGAGTTCCAGGACAGCCAGAACTGTTACACAGAGAAACCCTGTCTCAAAAGAAGAAAAAAACTGAGTTCCAGTTCCAGCACTCATGAGAAAACTGGGCACATAGTCATGAGTACCTGTAACCCCAGTATCAACAGGAGATAAACGTATCCCAGGAGCTCAGTAGCCAGCCTAGCAAAACAAAACAAAAAAAAATGTCAGGGTCAATGGGAGACCCTGTCTCAAGTGAAAGAGAAAGTGAAAAGTGATACAGGAAGACACCTGACTCCCTCCTCTGGCCTCCATATGTGGGCATATATACCCATGTACATAGCAACAGAGAGAGAGAGAGAGAAAGAGGGGGGGATGATTTAACCGTTCTCAACGCTCTTGCCCTCACTGGGTGCTGAACTGAAGAGATTACAGGGGTGTGATAACTGCCCCCAGTCAGCTGATATGAAGCAGGAGGATTATCCTCTGTAGAACTGGTCTAAGATCTAATCGGCTAGCCTCTCGGAGGGGACTATCCTCTCGGCAAAATGGAACCAAAACGTGAGAAGAATTTAAGGCTTGGAAAATGAAGAAGATTATAGAGCAAGAAATGTGTTTGTCTGTCCTCTAGGAGCTGAAGCAGACTCTGGATGGGCACCAACTCAGAAACAGGACCCGGTAAAGATGATTCCCCCGGTACAAGATCCACGTGGAGCATCTCCAGCCTTCTGACTTAAAAACTGTGAGTCAATGTGGTTCTCCAAGCTATTCTAGAGGGATTGGGTCCAGCATCCCTTGGGGGTACCAAAACCCTTGGATGCTCAGCTCATTTATATAAAATAAAATTACGTGCATTTTACATAATCTGTATACAGCCTCCACCATACTTTAAATTGTCTAAATGACTTGTGACACCTGGTATGATATAAATGCTGCCTAACGTCATTACAGTGCATAACTTAGGGAGTAACATCAAGAAAAACGTCTTACGCTTGCTTTGGCAGCACATATACTAAAATTGGAACCATACAGAGAATATTGGCACGGCCCCTGTGCGAGGATGGCACGCAAGTTCATGAAGCATTCTGTATTTTTCTGCATCATCAAGGGAATGGCCAGGCTGGGGCGGCTGGTCCACAGGAAGACACGCACCACTGTTGCCTTCACACAGGCTAACTCGGAGGACAAGGGTGCTCTGGCTCAGCTGGTAGACGCTATTAGGACCAATTAAATGACAGATATGATGAGATCCGACACCACTGGGGAGGCAACGTCCTGGGTCCTAAATCTGTGGCTCGAATTACCAAGCTGGAAAAGGCAAAGGCCAAAGAACTCGCCACTAAACTGGGCTAAATGTACACTGCTAAGTTTTCTGTACATAAATGTCGGCAGCAGTAAGTTTGCTGCCTTAATTTTAAATGCCCTTTTTTGTCCTGTCCCAGTTAAGTTGTTTGTGTGAAAAATGTGCAGTTGGGTTCCGGAGGGTGCTGGGGATGAGTTCCCCTGTGGTTTTTCCTGTTTGGAAAACAGTGTCCGGCTTGCCTACGGATACAGAGTAACCATTCCTTGACTCCTGCTGTTAGAGGGGTATATAAGCCCACGTTGGTACGACTAAAGAGAGCTGCTTCCCTGACGAACTGAAACTGGGTGTCTAGAGTGCTGTTTAACCTCGGCGTCCCTCGCCAGATTTCGTGCTCCAGCTGCACGGGCCGCAGCACATAAATATAATTACAAACTTATCTTCCAAAAAAAGAAAAAAGTCTTAACATGCTCAATACAGATGCAATTTTTTTTCAAATATTTTGGACCCAAGGGTTGGCCATCTGAATCTGTAGATGGGCCACCCATAAATGGGGAGGGCTAGTATAAGTAAGCCATTAGAAACCACTAAGTATGTGGCAACCTGTTGCACAGCAATAGAAAATGAACACAACAGCCAACACTCGGAGCTTTGGCGTTCCTTCTTTGCAAAGCAGTTAGTTATAAGTTTGGTGAATTCTATGAATGCCCCCAACCCCACAAAGGGTATATGCTCATCACCGCCATTTTACAGAAAAGGAAACGAGCATCCAGACAGTTCTTAAGCACTTCTTCTAGCTTATAAGTTCTGTAATTTCAAAGGGTTCTGACCTCCATCGGGACCCAGGGTCATTGTCTCAACCCTTTATCATGATAGTCTGAGGGGTATACCACCCCACGATGTCCTCAGTGTTCCTGAACTCCTTTAAGGGTAACAGGGAGGCCAAGGCCGAGGGATACTTTACTCAGCTGCTTGGGCACTCTTGCTGAAGCATCACATCCTGGGTAACCTAACATTTGAACTTAACCTTTCTCAGTACTTGCCAGAGAATGGGTTCCCACTAGCAGTTCATGGAGTGATCCCCAAAAGAGCCACAGACTCCTCAATTCCACCTACACTGCCCCCCCATGCTTCCCTCACCTGCACCAAGGACCCCAGTACCATTTCTTGTCCTGCGTGTCAGGACATACCATTGGCCCCTGGAGTGCCAACTGTCACACCATAATGAGCTCATCACAGCATAAGTCTGAAGGAGAGCAGCATTTAGCAGTTCAAGCAGGGCAAGGGCTAACATTAAACAAATTTCAAGGGTTATTTAAAGTTAATTGAGTTTAATCATATAATAGTTTTATAATTAGTCATGGTGCTATTCTTTCTACGTGGGTGGACCCAAGCTCTGAAGAAAAAGACGACAACCAGAAGGAAAGGGCCCTGGGCAGCCAGGGGGTGAGGGAGACAGGACCAGCGGGAAAGAAACAGGGTGCCGTTGGTGTGCCTACAAGAATGCTCTAGCACCCTGGGGACTCTGGTATCCCAGCAGGTGTTCCTGCGCAATGGACCTGTGCCCTCTGGTCTTTGTCGTCTGTGTTTAGAGTATGTCCAGTCTGTGTACAGAAACTTCTCAGGTGTGGCGGTTTTAGTGAAAAATGTCCCGCCCAGGCTCAGATATTCCAACACTTGCCCCCCAGTCCCCATTGGTGGCACTGTTTTAGGATGTACAACTTCTCTGAAGGAAGTGCATCACTCAGGGTGGGCTTTGGGGGCTTAGATTCTGTTCCACTTCCAGCTCAATCTCTGCTGCCTGAGTTTGGATGGAAATGTGAGTGCTCAGCTTCCTGTCACCATCTGCCATTTGCTGCCATGCCCCACCCCTGCTGTGATGGACTGCACTCTTGTACCTCTAAAACAGTGGTTCTCAACCTTCCTAATGCTGTGGTGACCCCCAACCGTAAAATTATTTTTGTGGCTACTTCATAGCTGTAGTTTGCTGCTGTTGTGAATTGCAGTGTAAATATCTGATATGCAAGATATCTGATATGTGACCCCTATGAAAGGGTCATTCACCCCAAAGGTGTCACAACCCACAGGTTGAGAACCACTCACTGCTCTAGAACCATAAGCCAAAATAAATTATTTCTATAAGATGTAATTCTTAAATCTATTTCTTTTTGTCATGGTACCTTTACCGCAGCAACAGAAAACTAATACTTCAGGAGGGGGATAAAAAAAAAACAACTGTCCCAAACTCTGCAAATGGTATTTCAAGGCCAATGTGAAATCTGTGATGCTACTAGTCCAAAACATTGTCTCAACCCAGTCAATCAACAGGCCAGATCTACTGGGAAGTAACTAATGGTATTTGCCTGTAAGATTCAATCCTGTAAGGAATTTAAGGCAGGTGCCTTTATGGGTTCCATGGTATCGTACCCAAACGGGCTTCAGATTCTAAATTTCATCTACAGGGCACAGAATTTAGCTCGTTGGAAACTCACTGAGGCCCTGAATGAAAGAATTAGATGGACTCAAATGTTCTGTGAAGCTGGACCTCTCAGAGAGCCCGACCATCTGGGTGGGAAGGAAAGAAAGCTTATGACAACATCAGATGTTACATCATATGTATGATTCCCAAAACATCAGAAAATCCTTCCTTAACTTCAGGAGCACAAGCTGGGAAAGGGTGGAGAAGGGGAGCACCTTCCTGAGTGCTCCTATTGGCCATGCACTGTCCTTTTGTTTCTTACAGCCATCTTCTGGGGAATGAGTAGAGGCTCAGGGTGATATAGTGCTGTGCCTAAGGTCTCATATCCAATGTGTGACTCTAGGATCTAAGGGACAGTGCACCATGGGACACTCAGGGAGCACATAGAAAAGGCATAATAGGAACGGGTGGTGGGTTCCTACAAAAACAGCCTCTCCTGGGTAGTTGCCTGGGATCACATCATCAATCATCCCAGGAATTCCTAAGGATTACATGTTGACATGACATATCCAGGGATTACATGACAACACACTTTTCTCTTTCCCTCTCAAGCCCTTCCTTCCCACAGTGGTCAAATTAATCAAGGAAATAACTGAATGAGTCAAAAATACAGAAAACTACACACAAGGAACTTCTCTCAGAAATACAAGGAAAGGACTGTGTGATTCCAACTGATTTTGTTTGTTTGTTCATTTTTTGTTTATTTGGGTTTTTTTGTTTTTGTTGTTTTGTGACACTGAATCTCACTATGTAGCCGTGGCTGGCTGGAGATCAGGTTGGCCTCAAACTCACAGAGATCAACCTGTCTTTACCTCCTGGATACTGAAATTAAACATGTGTACCAACACACCTAGTTTCAACTAGTTCTAAAACATGGATGGTGTTTTACTTAGGGTTTCTCCTGCTGTGAAGAGACACGATGACCAGGGCAACTCTTAGAAAGGAAAACGTTTAATTGAGGTGGCTCACTTACAGTTCAGAGGTTCAATCCATTATCCTCATGGTGGGACATGGTGGTGTGCAGGTGGACATGGTACTGGAGAGGTAGCTGAGAGTCCTATATCTTGCAAGCCAACAGGAAGTAAACTGTTTCACTGGGTAATGCTTAAGCATATGAGATCTCAGCCCGCCTCCACAGTGACACACTTCCTCCAACAGGGCCACACTACTCCAACTATACCTCCCAATAATGCCATTCTCTTTGGAGGCCATTTTCTTTCAAATCACTACATTCCACTCCCTCACCCCCAAAAGCTTGTAGCCCTATCACAATGCAAAATGTTTTCAGTCCAACTTCAAAAGTCCCCATAGTCTGTCACAGTCTCAACAATGTTTAAAAATCCAAAGTTCAAAGTCCCTTCTGAGATTCACACAATCTCTTAACTATAATCCCCTATAAAATCAAAATGAAAAGGCGGATCACAGACTTCCAACATACAATGCCACAGGATATACATTACTGTCCTAAAACATAGGGAAGGGAGCATAGTGAGGAAATACCGGACCAAAGCAAGACTGAAAACCAGCTGGGCAAACTCCAACCTCTGCATCTCCATGTCTGATATCAAAATGCTCTTCAGATCTCCAACTCCATTCAGCTTTGTTGACTGTAACACACTTCTTTCTCTTGGGCTGGTTCCACTCCCTGTTAGCAGCTTTCCTCAGCAGGTATCCCATGGCTCTGGCATCTCCAACATCTTGGGGCCTCCAAGACAATCCAGGCTTCACCTTCACAGCTTCATGCAATGGCCTCCCTAAACCTCCACTCAGAGACAGCTCTGACACATGCCTGGCCTCAGCCATTTTTCTTCGTCTCAGAGGAAGGTTATGTAATGCCTTTCTTCTATCATCGAAGGCAGAACTGCCAAGTTCTGCTGCTTACTGAGACTGGAACACAGCTCCTCATTCAATTACATCTTCAACAGTTTTGTTTCCTTCACTGCCTAAGCTTGGCTCTCCTAAAACTTACTCTGTAGACCAGGCTGGCCTCACACTCAGAGATCTGCCTGCCTCTGCCCTCCAAGTGCTGGGATTAAAGGCGTGCACCACCATACTTGGCCTTAAACTTTTCTTTCATTCCTTTTCCCACTTGGAAACTTGACTGGGTGGGATCTTGCCCTGAGGTCACCACTCCGTTTATTCCATTTCTTAATCTGTTTATGTCTCTGAACACAGGATTTAGCTCCATTCTACTTTCTGGTGCTCCCGATCTCAACTTGCTCCTTTTCATTATAAATATTTACAAGCGTGAACACTAGTAGCCACACGACAGAGTCTATTCTAGGCTGTTTTGAGATTTCCTCTGCCGATGGAATT